GATGAGCGACAAGCAGAGTAGAGTTGCTTTTCTGTCAATCTCCCATCCACCCCCCCCCCCCCTCCCCCACGTACCTTATTTCGTCACCATTTTTCACACCAGTGACGGTTGCAGAAGAGATGTAGTTGCGAGAGAAAAGAAAACTAACTGAAGCATCACTCGTGAACAAACAAAAAATAGCAAACTCGCCTAATATCACCTGCCACAAAAGAGACCCCCACACTTTCGTGTTGGGCCTCCAAAGAGGGGAGGCCGTTTTTCCTCGCACGGAGTGTAAACACGGAAGACGCGAAAAAACACATATCCTAACACCCCTACAACATACTTTATCTTTACCGTTAAAACAACCCGTGGGAATAGGCCGCGGCATGAATGGGAGCTGGCACGAAATCTCGCGCCCGGTGAGAAACAGGCATTTTCATGATATGTACCGAACTGAGTTAATGTGGGCTGATTTGTGATGAGTTACAGAGGTCTTGAACTGGCTCACTACTGAATTCCCAAGTTTTAAAATTTGAAAGGCTGGAAAGCCACTTTCCTCCCCTCCGGGGTGAGAGCGACGTTTTGCATAGGACTTGCTACATGGTGACTATGTTCATGCTTAAATTAGCTTCATTAATGAATACCAGAAGAAGCAAAGCCAGTTGAAGAAGAGTGGACTATATTTAAATACTGTAGCACGCAGGCAGCCAGCGAAGCACGCGGAACAGCATGAACAAGTACCACAAAAAAAGAAAATCACACCTTTGGTGAATGAAGTAGTGAAAAGTACTCTCAGAGAAAAGAAGCAGTCATTTAAACAATGGGTTAAAAGAAAAAAAAAGATGATTACAAATAATATAAACTCGCAAGAAATCAATTAAATTATCCATAGTGTGAAAATTGAGTCATAGAAAAAAAAAAAAAATACAGAAAAGCTTAAATACTGATTATAACATTTCTATATAAGAAACTAAATAACTGAGAAACAGATAAGAGAGTTCTGACCCTACAGAAATAATAAATGACAAAAAGGAAAAGCATTAAATTATCCAAGCCTTATCTTACAGAGATGGCAAGAATACTTCAGTCATCTATTAAATATTTCTTCCGAAAAGAAAGAAGAATTGCAATCTATTATAACGAAAACAATTTAGTTTGAACCAGATGTTTTGATATCAAACGTAAGAGAAGCTATACGAAGCGCGCCCACGAACAAAGTACATTGATGACTCAAGACATCCCTGCTGAACTGATCAAAGCTATACAAGATGTTGGAGTAAACTGGTTGCACAGACTGTAGAGATTAGCTTTAACAAAACAGGAAGTACCTGAAGATGGGAGAGATTCTATCATCGTCCTGCAGCAAAGAGACTGCGCCTTCACAATCCAGTCATCTCCTTGTGGGATGCAATTTTTCTTTATCTGAAGCCCTATTCTGGCTCTTCCCAGGGGCTGCAATATTGTCCGGCCATAAATATGGGCTAAATAGCTGAACATGGTTTCTGGGACCTCTACACGGTGATCCTCATCCACATGGTGGCACTTTGTGTCATCGGGTGTTTGTCGCTTGTGTGATTTCCTGGGGGTGAGTGGAGGCGGGGGGGGGGGGGGTTAAATCTACTACTGCTACTGCGCTATATATAGAGCAATATCTTTGCTGAGCCACACAGGGAAGATTTTCTTTGTTATAACTTTTTTGAGACGAAGTCTCAGCCCAGTTATCGAACTTCAGCTCAGTAAATCACAAAAGGGTTTAGAATAAGGAAAATCTGTACACCTTTACACGTCGACGGGTAGAAGAGAAAACAATAGAATATGAGGAGACACTATATCCTGCTTACATTGAAGAAGCATTTCATCGAGTCAACCGTCTACTTCTTCTTCTTCTTCGCTTCCTCTTTTACCGCTGTGGGTGTCGAAGAAGATATAAGGTTCTGTTTCTAGCTCTTCTGGCTGCCTCGACCATAGGCACATCGTGCTGTTGTAGAGTTTCTCTGACGTTATCCTTCCATATTGTTCTTGGTCTACCCCGCGCTCTACGTCCTTCTTCTCGGTCAACCGTCTACTACTTTGAGAAACACTAAGGGTCTATGAAGGTGGCCACAATCTAGTATATATATATATATATATATATATATATATATATATATATATATATATATATATATGTTTGTGCGTCTGTGTGTGTGTGTGTGTGTGTCTGTGTGTGTGTGTGTGAAATGAAATGTTTACGGCGAATCCTAACCATAATTAGGAGAGATAGAATCAGAACTGACGACAGGAAAGACGTTAGGACGGAACCAGTATGAAACAAAAGACAACAGATTAAGCGGTCTGGACATGGGTCAAGACAAACACCAGACAGTACATTACAGAAAACCCTGTCACTCAGACATAATGGAGGCAGAGCCAGAGGTCGACCACGCAAATAATGGACAGACTGTGAGTACAAATACGTGTGCAGCAATTACCAAGGCTCTTATACAAGCCTCTTTAAAGCTTCACGCTGAACGGCAACATAGAACTAGAGGAGGAGTTGCAGGAAGAGGAGGAGTTGCAGGAAGAGGAGGAGGAGGAGGAGATGGTAAAAAAGAATGAATCTTCTGTCTGCTATTATCAGGGGTACCCAATGCTTTTTTTTTTTTTTTTTTTCTGAAAAAAGTACCGGTACGGACACAGTATATAAAATGGTGCCCGTACTAAGCAGAGTGTCTGTTACAGAAGAGCAGGAAAAAAGTGCCGGTACTATTAAATACTACAAGCGGAAAAAAGTGAAGGTACTAGGTACTATTAGATACTTCAAGCGGAAAAAAGTGCAGGTATTAGATACTATTAGATACTACAAGCGGAAAAAAAGTGCAGGTATTAGATACTATTAGATACTACAAGCGGAAAAAAGTGCAGGTATTAGATACTATTAGATACTACAAGCGGAAAAAAGTGCAGGTATTAGATACTATTAGATACTACAAGCGGAAAAAAGTGCAGGTATTAGATACTATTAGATACTACAAGCGGAAAAAGGTGCAGGTATTAGATACTATTAGATACTACAAGCGGAAAAAAGTGCAGGTATTAGATACTATTAGATACTACAAGCGGAAAAAAGTGCAGGTATTAGATACTATTAGATACTACAAGCGGAAAAAAGTGCAGGTATTAGATACTATTAGATACTACAAGCGGAAAAAAGTGCAGGTATTAGATACTATTAGATACTACAAGCGGAAAAAAGTGCAGGTATTAGATACTATTAGATACTACAAGCGGAAAAATGTGCAGGTATTAGATACTATTAGATACTACAAGCGGAAAAATGTGCAGGTATTAGATACTATTAGATACTACAAGCGGAAAAATGTGCAGGTATTAGATACTATTAGATACTACAAGCGGAAAAAAGTGCAGGTATTAGATACTATTAGATACTACAAGCGGAAAAAAGTGCAGGTATTAGATACTATTAGATACTACAAGCGGAAAAATGTGCAGGTATTAGATACTATTAGATACTACAAGGGAAAAAAGCTCTGGGGCTACCTAAGTATGAATTAATTAGTTTCAGGTTTTAACCTTTAACCTATTGTCACATTTACTTTGATGTTGCATTTTGGAGGAAATTATACAATAGATTTTACAGCTTTGAATACTTTTAATTACTAAACGGTGATGACATACATTTTCATTTCAGCAACCCCCTCCATCCCCCCCCCCACATACCCCTCCCTCCCCCAGCTCCCGTGCAGTTGAAGAGAACACTTTTCCTTAATTCCTGCGCGTGATTGATTGACGTTTAACCCCACCAAAACATCACACGATTAACAGCCAATGACACAAAGTGCTACCATTCGGATGAGGATCACACGGGACAGGTCCCAGAAACCCCTTCAACCTGTACGGGTTATATTAGGGCTTCGACAACAGCCGGTCTGGGGCTTCAAAACAAACATAAATTGCGTCATATTGAATGTTGAATGTTGAAATAAGAATCGACATCACAGCACTCGGGACACCTCCAAAAGCGCACAGTACCCATCTTCAACAGCAAACAAAGAGTTAAAATGCCGATGGTACCAGTAACTGTCTGATTGTATATCCGTCTCGCCTTTCACCTGAGTGTCGAGCGTCGGCCAGATCCCCTTCTAACTCATCGCAGTGCCATTCTCCTCAGACCGTAATGATCTATCTGTGCCTCGGCACTGTTCACTCGCTCACAAAGGGCCCTCATAACATCCAGCATGTCATACATCATTTTACCACCAAGTGGTGCAGAACAGACCAGTCTATCCGCCTGCTCATTTCCCAACACACCGGCGTGACATGGAGAGAATATCCAAAGGATGCTAACTTCCCAGGATCTCTGAAGTGATGCTTGCCACTCTGCACGGAGCATGTCTGTCTCCACCTTTCTCAGCATGCTCTGTGAGTCAGTTACAATGACGACATGTGTGTACAGCTGATTCTCAAGCCAACGAAAGGCAGCAGTGACTGCCTCCACCTCCATTCTCAAACTAGACTTTGTGATATCATATGCCAGACTGATGCGCCAAGCAACGTCCATTCGCTTTCGCTATGAACCCCCATGCACTTCGTCTGCCCCTCACCCCAGAGCCATCTGTATATACAATCTTATCATTTGGGTATATGTAGTTGTACCCCACCAGAACATCACACAAGCGATAAACACCCGGGGATGAGGATCACGCGTGGAGAGGTCACAGAAACCCCTTTCAGCCGTTAGTTATCTATGGCTAGGCTATATTTATAGTCCTGGCTATATTCAGGGCTCCCGGCGAAAGCCAGGGTGGGGCTTCCCCAAAAAATACTGCATCCCACAAGGGACGAACTTTCCTTAAAACACTATCAAAACTAACCGGATGCATTTTTTTTTTTTAAACCACCGTTTGAGAAACCCTGTTCCAATGAAGCAAGATCCCTACTGTCAATAGTCAGAATCGCATCCGGTTTAAGGGTCAGTTCTGCAACTGAGAGTTGTGACTTTCGTATTTCGTTCTGCAATGAGCCGTAAATTTCTAATCAGTTTAGTTCGCCAGTAGGTGTTCACCATTTATATGTCAATCATGTCACTTTAGTTCTATATTTACTTATTATTGTTAATCGCCTTACCATATCTAGTGTTATTAAATTTAAATGTTATTAAATTTAAATCTCAAAGGTGACAGGTCTGATGCCGGTAGCCGTCGTAAACTTCAAACTAATAAATCAGTAAATCAGACTAAATGAAATCTGAAATGGAATTCCCAGGTAGTAGCTAGCGAAGTCAGCAAAGTCTCGTATGCGAAAGGAAAGGGCCCATTCCTCAGCAGTGAGAAATAATGATGAGTAGCCAACATTGTGCTAGCCCAACATTTTTTGTAGACCAGTTGGAACTTGATAGGTTATGTCGTCAGCATCACACCTACAACCTTCACTTCCCAGAGGCCACGGTGCCCTGGGTACTACTACTAATAAAACAAATTATCAAATGTATGCCTGAATACTGATATGGAGATTCAGGCACTCTTCCGAATACCGGTCCCAAATTATTCACTGTTGAAAAAATCCCAATCAGGGCCTCAACATGTTATATATGGAATAGGAACACTATGAACTATGCTTCCCGTTATTAAATAATTTCATGGGAACCAATTCTCTAATATTTTTAGCCCTCAAAAGGGCGGTTGGCACGGTGTGTTGTGGTTTACAACCATGCTGCGATATCTTAGCCTTTCACACCAACACAACTGATTTCAGCAATGTCCTATTTAGTCGCTTTTAGACCAAAATCCATTCCTTCTCACAACGCTTTAATGGAGCAAAAATTACGCCTCTCAACGACGCTTAACCAATGGATCAAAATCTATTCCTCCCCACGCTGCTTAGCTTAACATCTAAACATTGCTATCCTCGAGCAATAACAGCAGAAGTGGAAACATATGATGATGGCCTAAATGCTTTTAACTCCATAACTTCTTGAGGGAGGTTTTTCACAGTGAATAATTTGGGGCTAGTATTCAGAAGTGTGCCTTATTAAATTTTTTTTTAAAATCTCATTCAGGGCCTCAAGATGTCATATAGTTAAAAATATTGAATAGGAACACAATGAACTATGATTTGCGTCATTATATAATGTCATTTAAACAAAATTCTCCAGTCCTCATTAGTACAGTTGTTAAGTATTCCGCCTGTCACGCGTGTGATCGGTGTTTGATTTCCCGCCAGGTGATAATTTTTGTTCTCTCAAAAAAGGCGGTTTTGATGTTGTGTTGTATTTTACATCTAGGCTGCGATAGTGGCGGTGGAATGCTTAATGGTCATGTTACGAGTAGGTAATTTATTTTTTGGGGGGGGGGGGGGGGGAGGGAAGAGTGCCGTGATTCGAATAGGATCAGCACGAAAGCGTTGCAACTGCAACGGAGATGAAATAAAAGTAACTTGATTCACTCTAGACCAGGGGCACAGATACAAGGTAAATGGAGTTTGTGGGGTTGTCAGGCACTTACCAATTTTATTGTAAGGGTAACTCAAGGAAGAAAGACTTGTTTATAAAAAAAATGGGCACTCTTCTGAATAACGGGCATAAATTATAAAGGTTAAAAGCATACCCTAACAGGGCCTCAATGATATGTAAAAGTAGGATTTATTTCTGGCAAAGTCGGTGTCATTCAGAAATATTAGAATGGCAGGCAGATCATCAGCTGCGACGCAGATCATAAATAGTGTTCTACCTATTTAAGAACTGGCAGCCTTCTTGTATACATTAATGAACAATAAGCTGCAGTGATTGCAGTGGCTTGCTCCACAGATTAATACGAAACACACAGGAATGTTCTTGCTTCAAACGTCTGATGTCGTTGATTGTGCTTGTAGAAAGCTGTGACAGATAACTATTGAAAACTGGGAAATAAAATACTTATTAACCCTAATCCCAACCATAACCCTAACCCTACACCTAACCCTAAAGCAAAGAACATCTACAGCTGCCACTTCGTCAATCAGTAGAACATTATTGCTAATCCATGTCAGAGCTGATGGCCTGCCTGCCATATTTGCCGGAAATAAATCCTAATTCTACATATTATTAAGGCCTTGTTAGGGTATGCTTTTAACCTCCATTATATACGTCTGTCATTTGGAAGAGTGCCAAAAAAAGTTCAAGAATAATATTAATATCTTATCAATATTGTACTGATTGACAAATATTTTTTTTTTTCATTTGGTTGGGGGTGGCTAAAAAAAAACCCCAGGTTCTGGCACCATTGCTCTAGTCAGCAGAAAAATGTGGCCTGAAGCCTCTTGGACCAGGAACAGAACAAGTTGCACATGTTAACAGTCTCTCAAAGACAGTTTTAAAAAAAGTTTGGAATTGTCCAGGTTTGAAAATAATGTAGTCTCATAGTTTATCACAAACATCAGGGGGGAAAAAACAGTCATCATTTTTTGGCCATGTTGTTAGAAGAAGAAAACTGGGACCTTCTGTGACCACTGGAAAGATTTTGTGGAAATAGTGATAGAGGAATCAGAGCAAGAAGATTCTTAACAGCCTTTTGTCATGGAATCGAGGGATGTCAGCATATGATCTGATACATGTTGTTTGTGGCCTGGGGTTTCCTAATGATGAAGTCATGGCTAGATGAAAACTAAGACTCGATGGTGCGGCACTCGTTGTGACATAGAGGGAGTGTGTGTGTGCAAGCGAAATGACGAATCCTACAATTTCATAATCAAAAGGCAACATTCTGCTGTAAAGTCTCATATGCAGTTTAATTTCTCACCAGATGGCTGAACCATTTTATTCTTTTCCTGTCAATGACTATTAAAAAAAAAGCAATATTTTGCTTTGTATACCTTGAATTGGTAGTATGTTTATTTCTGATCACTATTTATTTGCTTACAGTGGAGAGACTATGGAAAACAGACAGAAGATCATGCAGGGTAAGATAGTTTCATCATTATCGCCATAGTTATCTTCTCCACAACTGCCGTCATCAATATTAATATAATCGCCGATATCCATTTGTGTTACTGGTGCAAGGAAAAGGAAAGCAACAGAACTGTTGTCCTTCTCTGTTCGCCCAATAAAAAGCAAGGTTGGCGTGTTGTATTGAGGTTTACAACTAGGCTGCAATATCTGTGCCTTTCTTAATCTTAATCTGCGCACTTAACAACAAATTCATGCAACCGTACACACATTGTTTTTGATACCCTATTTTATCGTCACTCATTATTCGTTCATTCAAGTCAGAAGACTTGTTAATCAACATAGAACTGGTACTATTAGCCATCGGACGTTGGGGTTCATACTGAGGGGAGGATCTGAGCACCTATGGACATGTCCGGAGTGCAATGACGATAACCCAACTAACTAACTAACTAACTCGTTCATTTTTAGTTTAAAAATTTATGCCGTTTCCATTGTAAGCGTTCCTGCTACTGTAGGTTTTTTATCCATATATATCTACTCTTTCATTGCTTTGCTTTGCACTCCTAGCACTGCAAATAAAAAAGTAAGAAAAAAAAAGAAACCTTTCAGTTTGCCCAAGAGCCAGAAGTTCAGATGTTAACCCCCCCCCCCCCCCCCCCCCCCCCCCCCCACCCCCCCCCCCCCCCCCCCACCCAATATAAACAAGTAAGGATTATTTACATTGGGTGATCATCTTGTAATTAAGAAACTTTTACATACGGCTGTGAAATGTAGACCTTAATACTTTCACAGCAATGTGTAACATCATACATTCAAATATTTCTAACTGAAAGCCAAATGAATGCAAGAATGCACCATTTATACATTTCTCTTTACCACTCCTTGGGCTCCTGATGCTCCCCCTCCCCCCCCCCCCCCCCAGCCCTCCGGGATTGAAAGAGTTGGTTCCAAACTTTAAAGGAAAATACAAGCAGTTGAAATCTTTGTATATCATGCAAAGATAACATCACAAAAGTTGAAGTTCATCATATAGTCGCTTAGTTTATTGGCAGCTATAAACCTCTGTTAACAACAGTGAAAAGATGAAAACAGTTCATTAATACAGACATGTAACAAGATCTGTTGGCCAATTCAAATGATATTATATGGCTCTTAGTCTTAGTTGAGGTTTCAACATCACTGCAGTCAGGTTTCCCCATACTTGCTCCATTCCTGTGCCAGTGCAAATCAAATGAAATATCCATCACTGTCCCATTTGAATAACTGGTCAACAAACGATTAGTCCTGGAACAGTCCAGAAATATGCACATGCAGTAACTGTATATGGCAGTTGCTAGGGGTGCCAAAGCCAACTGTCGCCACTAGAAATGCATTTTGTCATTGATGGAAGTAGTCGGGCACGATAATTGAGATAACTGATTAGACAGGCAATGGCAACTGATGACCCAAAGACACATGTTCTGGACTGATCATGTAATTAAGAAAAATGCTCGGTTATTTATGATTTTATTTTCGCTCTAGGCCAACTAGACACAAAACTCTCTGATGTTGGAGTCAAGCAAGCACAGCTTTTAGCCAACCGGCTTAAGAATGACCGATTCACCCACGTTTACTCCAGTGACCTGGCAAGAGCTGCCGACACAGCCTGGGCCATTGTTGAAACCAATAAATCATTTTCAGCACATCTTACTCTTGACAGGCGATTACGAGAGAGGGTATGTATATATTGAGAATGATATGTATTCTGTCTTCTTCAGTTTGTCTTTTATCCACTAATAGAGTATAGGTAGTTGAAGGAAAGATGCAGCATTGGAAAGGACTAATGTTAAGACAACTTGAGAACAATATAACTATAATGTTTTTACACTGCAACCCACGGGGTTGTTGTAATAACGGCAGACCCCAAAACAAAAACACATAGAAGGGAATTAGATAGTGAAGTTGAAAAAAATCAGGACAACATAGACCTGGTGTGGGTTGGTTGAGGTCCTGTGCACCACTGGGGGATAGAGAGCAGAAAAAGAAGCAGAAGAGTCTAGGCAATACAGAGTTTTGTTTGCACATCTGCTTCATAGATCTGACTTTTTTGTATGCAGGCTGTTTATTCCTTAGCAGACAAACACAGTACTTTGGCCACGTAATGAGAAGAGAGGCATTGGAAATCCTGACAACTGGAAAGATCAATGGAAAGAAGGGTAGAGACAGACCAAGAGAGATGATGCTGGATGGTCTGAAACGATGGCATGGAGGGATATCATCAAGAAAGCTGTTCCAGGCAACTAGGGATCATGATCTGTGGAGATGCATGAGCGCCTACGCCAGTTGGCAGGGCACATGATGATGATGATGATGTTTATTCCTTGCCTCTCAGACAGATGAACTCCTTCGTTAAAGGAAACAACCCTTAATTTATTTGCTTTTCACATGATGCTTGCCAGGATGGGAGCCTGGGTCTGTTCTTATTTTCCCCCAAAATGGAACCCCGGAACCCACACTGGTACTGTTTTTGAGAGTCTTGATTTACAAACTTCTTTTGGCATCACTTTTATGCATTTTTCTTAGGGTTTTGGTAACCTGGAGGGGAAGCTACTCCCAGAATACAAAAAGGCTGCAGAGAAAGCTAATGTGCCAATGCAGGATTACACCCCAGAGGGAGGAGAAACTATTGAACAAGTAAGTAGAATAAAGAAGCAAAATTTGGGGCTATCTGTAACCCCATGAGGGGAGACACTTTCTGCATGAGTTTACAGTTGGTGAATTCTTAGAAGAAGAATAGAAGAATTACAAGTGTTTACTACATTGTATAACCCCTCTCCCCGTAATACAAGTGTGTGTGTGTGGTGGGTAGACTCGCTTTCCCTAAGTGAACATGTCATAAAAGGCAACTGATCAGGGGTTTGCTGAAACTGGATGTGATGGGCTGAAAGATGCAGATATTGTAGGTTAGCTGGAAACCACAACACCATTTACCAGTCCAGCTATGCTTTGAAGGACAAATGCAGAAGAAATACAGTGGGAAAACTGAAGAAGTCAGCAGACCATTTCTGTGAGAATTTTATGGATGTCTACAATGTGGCCATAAACAGTCCATCAATTTCAAAAGTTCTGACCACTAAGGTGAAATTGACATTTCTGTCACTGTCGTAAAATCTTGATTTGGGGATCAGGTAATCTGATTCTCCTTGAAAGAAATTACCTTTTTCATAGTTTTGGTGTTCTAATTCCCGCAAGGATTAATGTTCAGCATTTGAGGAGCTGCCAGCCTAAAATTCTTGGGTGTGAATCCACATTGACTCTAGATTGTTTTACCCAAAGAATGAGACTCTAGATTGTTTTACCCAAAGAATGAGACTCTAGATTGTTTTACCCAAAGAATGAGACTCTAGATTGTTTTCCTCAAAGAATGAGACTCTAGATTGTTTTACCCAAAGAATGAGACTCTAGATTGTTTTACCCAAAGAATGAGACTCTAGATTGTTTTACCCAAAGAATTGAGACTCTAGATTGTTTTACCCAAAGAATAAGACTCTAGATTGTTTTACCCAAAGAATGAGACTCTAGATTGTTTTACCCAAAGAATGAGACTCTAGATTGTTTTACCCAAAGAATAAGACTCTAGATTGTTTTACCCAAAGAATGAGACTAGATTGTTTTACCCAAAGAATGAGACTTTAGATTGTTTTACCCAAAGAATGACCTTGACTGCCAGGTCAACCCAGCCTAAAATAGACAAATAAAGATGGCCTGCGTGATGTAGACAACATCACACTTTGAGAGCTGACTGGTGTATAAAAAAACCAACATAAATATGACTCTAGAACAGTGGTCTCCAATCTTTTTCATTTTTGATGAACTCCCTTTAGTATATGGAAAGACCACCACATCCCCCTTCCCAACATAACAAAATTTCATAAAAATAAAGAGTTATGTGTTTTTAAAAAAAAAATACTTTGACCATATTAAAAGACATACCACACTTTTAAAAACTATACTTAAGGGAAAGGTCGAAGGCAAGGATACATGTGGAAGAACAACATCAAGAGATAGATAGGCAGCAGTCTGAGAGAGTGTACAACCAGGACAAGTGACAGATCGGGTTGGAGATCCATTGCAGTCAACCTTTATTGTGGAGACATCACCTGATTGATTGACTGGTTTCTTAATCTGTAATTAAATGCTTGTGTTATAATAGTTAAATTTTTAACCATAGATAAGATGTAGAAACTGCTCTTGAAAACAAAAACATTCTCGGCTTCTTGTTTTATAGTTTAAAATGTTTTATTTATAATTAAACTGAACAAGTGTTAGTCTTCTTCTTCTTCTTCTGTGAGTTCACCAGCTGTAAACTCTGGTGGAAAGTTCTGGTTGTTCATTCACTTTTTGACTACAGTCCTGCTCCAGAACTTGAGTGTTGCGTATGAATGTGTTTGACAGATCTGACTCATTTATATGCAGACTGTTGGTTCCTTGCCTCTCAAGTAGATGCACTCCGACTTTAAAGGAAGCTCCCAATTAGTCTACTCTTATGACATGCTTTTGGGTAGGCAGTGGGTCTGTTCTTTTTCGCCCTATAATAGGGCACCGGAACCCACACGTGGAACCAGTGGTAGTATCACGGATTATTACAAGTACAAATTCACTCATTTTCAAAATGACTTGATGCCTACCACATCCCCCCAGGTAGGAGTTTACTGTGGTCCAGAATGATATGCCCATACGGCACTGGCGTAAAAAGGCTCCTTTTATTATACATTTACTTCAACTGGGGATGTTTTAGCCACCACCTTTTTCACCCCTGCTGTAATAACACATTTTTTTTCTAAAAAATAAATAAAAATGTACAAAAAGCCCTCCATTCAGCCAATTATGTTGTAGTTTATTTTTCTTTTCTTTTCTCTTATACTCATTTGTATTTACCTTTTCCCTACTCCCCCCCCCCCCCCTTTCCTTTGTTCATGTTTTGTTTTGCAAAAAGCTCCCTCTGTCTCCATCCCACCATTCTTAGCATTTCTGTTCTGTTTGACTGCTTTTGTCATTTGTTGTCCTTTTTTTGTTCCATTGATAAATACTGGTTGAAAATATGAGGTTTATTTGTGCGTGTTTTTGCACCCATAGATGATGTGAACAAAGGAGGTAGAGTGACAATAGTAGACCACTTTACTGTTTTTAGACATACAAAGGATGCAAAGCACCTGGCCGAGTGGTTAGTCAACTTGACTCTAATGCTATTTCTATCGAGGCAAAGAAAAACCACCCTAGCCTGCACAGTTTGTGGTGGCTGTCCCAGTCATGTGACCCTGAATTCTACCTGTACTACACCACCCTGAAAAGAAGTACATGTAAAGTCAGTAACCTCATAAAGATAACAATGACTCTGAATGTTTGAATTGCCACCTCGTGGTTTCAGGTTACAGCGAGAGCAAAAGACTTCTTCGAAGAACTATGCAAGCTAATGGCAGAGCCACTGCTGGACCTCAAGAGCACTTCCCCTTTGGGACTGGGTAAGTCGATAAGCCACCATGGATCCAGCAGCAGCTGCCAACACAGTGACACACAGGTCACCAGTGTTACTCAGGCTGTCAGTGCACCTCAGTTGTCCAGTGTACATCGGGGCACCTATTTAACCCACATCTTGATGCAGGAAGAACAGAAGAGAGAAGGTTGGTGGCCTCGCTGTAAATGTATGCATGTTGTAGAAATGGTGTAATGGGAAATAATAGATAGGACAATTGTTTTAGAGAGGGAAGGAGGTCAGTGAACTCCTGTTGCAGGATTGATGAGAGGTTAGGGGGAGGGGGGGATTTAGAGTCGCGGACTTCAGAAAGGAGAGATCAGTAAACTTATTGTTATAGAAAAGTTGTTGGAATGGAGAAAGATGTGATGTGATTAAGAATAACACACGGGTCACAAATTTCTGCCAGAAGGAAAAAAGATGTATACTTCTATATGAATGTTGCAGGGGTGGAGGAAGATCTGAATCAATTCACAGTAAGAAACTATGGGATACACATTTTCTGAGAGGAGAGAAGATCAGTAAATTCTAGCTGAGCACTTCTACCAGAGTCTTCATGAACGAAGAAAAAAACAAAGACGAATCCTAAGCCTTAGCCTCCGAACGGGGAGTTTGTGTATGCATAGGGAGATGAAAACATGCACAGATATATTTGAACATTTTGACCAAAGTCATTAATTTACAAAATACAGGAGAAGAATTCCAAGCCTCATAGTTTGTGTGTGCAGTGACACAAAGTTGTCAGTTAGTACCTGCACCTTTTTTTGCACAGTGTTAAACAAAAACCAAAAAAAGAAAAAGAAACCCATAGTTATTCACTGGCATGTTTTAATTTGTTGATGGAAAAGCCTATATGCCTAAAAAAAATGATTGATGACCCAGATGCAAAAGAATTGTCATTTGTTTGGTTGATCCTAAGGTATTCTTATGTGCATTTTGAACAGTTTCAGTCACTAAGTTGCAAAGGATTTGAATGTCCTAATTATGTTTCTTTTAGTATCTATGCATTTTCTTTTTGTTGTATTTTGTTGGAATAGTATAGAGTATCTGATTCCATTCTTCTTGACATTCCTGGTTTATTCCTCTACAGCCCAGCCATCCCAACAGCCACTGTCTATAGACATACCCGTCTGCTACAAGTCACCCCCATCAGAAGTTATTGTAGCTAATGGTATCCATGAGAGTGTGGCTGGCCCGGTTAAGGAATCAACTCCAGGAGTCTGCAGTACAGGCTTAGATATTTCCAAGCCACAGAGTTCCTACAGTGTGCATGATCCCAGCGTGCTAATCGTCAGTCATGGCCTGTTGCTTCGGGAGCTCAAACGACTCATTCTGAAAAGTTACAGCGGACAGCTGGAAGGGAACCTTGCCAAGGAGGCCAGGCTTATTTGTCCCAACACTGGCTTGTCTCAGTTTGGTATGTCTGTGTCTGTGCAAGGCAACAGTGTGGTAACGAAATGTGAGCATGTCTATGTTATTAATGACACGCAGCATCTGGTGTCTTCTTCTGAGGATCTGCTTACCAAGTTTCAGGGAGCTTTGTGATGTCAGTTCAGAGGTAGGGTTAGTTTGACAGAGCAGTTGGTTTAGGAGTGAGACAGATAACTTCATGCCACATAAAGTGGGTTATAGGCACACAGAATGTAGGAAGAAAATGAGAAATAGAAATTATCTCCATTGTTATCTTCAGTCTTGCTTAAATCACATTATTGGTTTTTTAGAATAGTGATGTCATTTTGGTAACTGTCCTTTCATTGTCTTTCACTTTGATGACAGTCCACACATTGTCTTTCATCTGGATGATGTTATTCTCATTGTCTATTATTTTTGTGATGGTTCTCTGATGTTTATTTTCTATCTTTTGTTTTCATGATGAACTTCTTATTTTACTGATGGTCCATTTTCTACGATTGTTGCTTCTGAGTGTTTTTATTTTTTGATAGTCTTTCATTCTGATAACTTTTGTTAATTTATGACACATCAGTTTGTGACAAATAGAATTTAGAAATATCACTGTAGAATGGTGTGCATCAGCTGTGAATTCTTGAAAAGCAATAAATGTTTTCATTATCAGCACCATGAAGCAAGGTTCCTCTGTGAAACAATCCCCTTCCTGGTAATCCAAAGACTGATGTTGTGCTAACTGCTCCGCATAATTTTTAATGCATGATAAGTTTAGAATCAAAGATGGCAGCAGAGCAAAGACAGAACTTGCCTGTGGAGATTTTTTTCTGCTGTATTTTTATAATTTTATTTATTTGTACACAAATAAAGAATTATAACTGTAAGATGAGGATGTTCTTCCTTCTGATTTCTTCTTCTCCTCCTCCTCTGTCTTTTTTTCTGTGATCTCAGGCAGAATATCCTGCTTGATCTTCTGTGTATGGACTTTGATCTTGTTCCAGTAATTTAGCATTGTGTGCACATCTGTTTTCCAAATCTGGTTTTATTGTGTGCTGACTGTTGGTTAATCATCTATCAGGCAGATTCACTCTACTTTGAACTTAGCATTGATTAGCCAGGTTCCTGGTAGAGAGCAAAGAACAGAGAAAATATGAACTGTTGAGAATATGAACAACAGAGAATATATTAACTGTTTACATGTGTAACAACAGAGAATATATTAACTGTTCAAATGTGTAACAACAGAGAATGTATGAACTGTTCACAAGTGTAACAACAGAGAACATATGAACTGTTCACATTTGTAACAATAGAGAATATATGAATTGTTCACATTTGTAACAATAGAGAATATATGGATTGTTCACATTTGTATCAACAGAGAATATGTAAACAGTTTACACAAGTGTAACAACCGAGAATATATGAACAGTTTACACAAGTGTAACAACAGAGAACATATAAACAGTTTACACAAGTGTAACAACAGAGAATATATGTACAGTTTACACTAATGTAACAACAGAGAATATATGTACAGTTTACACTAATGTAACAACAGAGAATATATTAACTGTTTACAAGTGTAACAACAGATAATATATTAACTGTTCAAATGTGTAACAACAGAGAATGTATGAACAGTTTACACTAGTGTAACAACAGAGAACATATGAACTGTTAACATTTGTAACAATAGAGAATATATGGATTGTTCACATGTGTAACACCAGAGAATATATAAGCAGTTTACACAAGTGTAACAACAGAGAATATATGAACAGTTTACACAAGTGTAACAACAGAGAATATATGAACAGTTTACACAAGTGTAACAACAGAGAACATATGAACTGTTCACATTTGTAACAATAGAGAATATATGAATTGTTCACATTTGTAACAATAGAGAATATATAAACAGTTTACACAAGTGTAACAACAGAGAATATATAAACAGTTTACAGAAGTGTAACAACAGAGAATATATGAACAGTTTACACAAGTGTAACAACAGAGAATATATAAACAGTTTACACAAGTGTAACAACAGAGAATATATAAACAGTTTACACAAGTGTAACAACAGAGAAAATATGAACAGTTTACACAAGTGTAACAACAGAGTATATATAAACAGTTTACACAAGTGTAACAACAGAGAATATATAAGGGAAGTCAATAACTAAGTCACAAATGGTTATGGGATGGCAGGAAAATGTAGTTGATGGTTTCTGAAGGTGTTATTAGGTGACAGCAACATTAAACTTTATGTCCCAGTTTGTTAGGTGGTGCTAAATGTTGCATGCACATTCCCAACACAAAAACAAAATTGTGACTTTACTTACAGAATGCACCCTCAAAGGAAACGTGACGTGCATAATTTTTTGGAAAGGGAGGGGGGGGGGGGGGGGATGCAAAAGGGCCACCTGCAAAGGACATGCATAAGGAAAAGCTTCCTGTTTATGCTAACAAATGTTTACCCCGTAAAGTGTTGCATAGCTGGGTAAAACATTTTTCTTAAAAAAGCTCTAAAATTGTTGATAAAATTCGATCTGGTCATCCTGTTGAAATTACGACAGACGCTGCGGCCCTGCTAACACAGGAGAGAAATAACCATATAGGGTGGGAACTTCTGGAACATGCACCTTACAGCCCCTAGCGATTTCCATCTTTTTGGTCACTAAAAACCCACCTTGCCCGGAGACATTTCGTGAATGAAGCAGAAGATGAATATGAAGTTAAAATGTGCTTTATAAAATAGAACACCCACTTCTATGCAGCAGGTTTGGGAGGACTAAAAAAAATGATGGGACAAGTGCATCTGTGTTGGTGGAATTTTTGTTGAAAAATAAAGGGACAGTGTATGTGTAAAAATAAACAGTTTTCAGTTAACTTTAGTTTTTAAACAAACATTTGACTTATTAACTTCCCCTCATATGAACCACCCAGACTTAGAATAAAAAATATTGTAAACTATCCAGAATTATAACAACAGAAATTATATGAACTACCCAGAATTATAGTAGAAAATATATAAACTACTGTTGTGTGCTAAATTGAGTCAGCACACTACCAAGTGTCTAGCAGGTACTCTTCAGCTTCCTTTCTTAACAAGACAACTCGACGACGATGACACCGTCATACAAGTTTATTTAACAGGATACATGACACAAATGCAGAGACGTAGTTATTGATCACAGCTGACATTCGCACATCGTTCATTTGTCCTCACAGCTCTCGATCTCTCACTGTGTAAGTGACCTCTCCTGGACTACTGCAGATACCAGGGTGACGGCGTCCCACTCTCTGGACGCGTCGTACAGCTGAACAGGACGACTTCTCCCATTCACTGGACCTTGATATTAATTCAGCATACAACACGGCTGACTGGAGACGGACTTCTCTTGCCGTACTCCGAAACCAGGCACCACTAGTCTTCCCGTCCCCTGGACTTACTTTGCCAGCGGGACCATATTTCCCATACCGCAATTCCGACACTTACTCGGACCTGAATGCCCGATAGTCGTACGGTATTCTAGTCGGTTAGACTCCAATGACCGACAGGACTTCTACCATAAGTCCTCTCATACTTTTGACATGTACCGCAATGTCGACACTTACTCGGACCTAAATGCCCGATAGTCGTACGGTATGTTTGTCCGTTAGACTCGAGAGATTACCTGGACCCTGACTTGGTCTCTGACTCTCGTTTTCTCTCTCTTCTCGCTTCTCGCTCTATCTTGACTGCTTCTCGATTGCCCCCGAGGGGCTTTAGCCCTCAGGCTACAGCTCACTCTCTGGACTGTCTACGCAGCCCAATTTATATATGTCGAATCCGTGTAGGTGGATGGTGATTACACGAGAGGCACGCTTGTGTGGGCGTTCTCGAGGATCACGCTTATGTGGGTGGCTGATGTTACCCGAGAATCACGCTGTCACTTAATTCACACTTTATCTCGTTATCCACGCTTTCAGCCCACCACACAGAATCCTACGCGTCCACTTTCTCTCGTGCAAGCACGCCTTGTTCATGAATAGACGTTTTCACTGGTCTCCTCTTAATACTCGGATCATATTGACACTCTTTCCTCGTGAACTTACAAGAAGTACAGGCATACTATTGTCCCTTCCCACAATATCACACCTAACCCAAATCAGCGCGCAACAACTACCCAGAATTATATCAGAAAATATATATGAACTACCAAGAATTACAACATAGAATATGTGAACCACCTAGAATTATAACAACAGAGAATATGTGAACTACCCAGAATTATAACAACAGAGAATTTGGGAACCACCCAAAATTATAACATCATCATAATGTGCCCTGCCAACTGGCATAGGCGCTCATTCGTCTCCACAGATCACGATCCCTGGTGGCCTGGAACAGCTCTCTTGATGATATCCCTCGATGCGAGGCTATCCAGCTATCATCTTTCTTGGTCTGCCTCTACCCCTTTTCCACTAATCTTTCCCGTTGTTACGATGTTCTCCAGTGTCTCTCTTCTCATTATGTGGCCAAAGAACAGTGTTTGTCTCTTTCTCATTGTTGTATATAAAGATCTACTTTCGTTAGCCTCTTTCAAGCAGTTGTTGTTAGATACTCTGACCGTCCAAGGCATTCGTAACATTTGTCTCAGAAACCACATCTCTATTGCTTCCAAATTCTTCTTAATTTGTTCAATGACATTCCAAGATTGACTGCCATACAGAAGAACAGGTTCTATGTAACATTTTAACACCCTCTTTCTGACATTAAATGAGAGCAACTTATTGCATAAGATATTTTTCATTTGCTGAAATGCAGCTTTTGCTTGACCTATTCTGCTTTTAATCTTTGTCACACATTTTCCATCTCATGGTATGACTGTTCCCAGATATTGAAATTTATTGACTTGGTTAAGTCTTTTTCCTTAAATTGAGATATCACAACGTAGGGTTTTCTTCTTCCTTGATATAACCATTACTTCTGTTTTCTTAATATTCAATGAAAGTCCTTTCTTAGCACTATCCATCCCCACAATATCCAGCAGTTCTTATAAATCAGTTGCATTTTCAGCTATCAAAACTGTGTTGTCTGCATAACGCAAATTGTTTATTTTGCATCCTTCAACTCTTACTCCTGCATTCTC